ATTGACAGCCATATAGGAGAAACGATATTACATAAAATTTCAGTACGCTTCTCTTTGTTTCTAACGAAATGTTACTGTTTCGTACTGAGCTTTTTAAGGATATCTTTTGTATTTTCAATGTGGTTTCGCGGTACGCTGCCACATTCTCCGTCTTCTGTTTAATCATTTTGTAGATATTTAAAGTTTTGTACTTGATTGATCACAGTACTGATAGCAGACACGCAAAAGAAATGACAAAATCTCCTACAGAAGATAGCGACGGAGAATGAGAAGAAGGAACTAACTATAAACTACAAGAAGACATAATGCATCGTCATCATTAAAATGATTAGCCCAAAATAAGATTTGCATGTTGAAAACACTAGAATCAAGGAGACGCAGAATTTTAAATATCTCGGAATTGTTTTGACAGAGGACGGTGAGTGCGACTCTGAAATCCCTACACGCTGTTGGATGATGAAGGACGCATTCCAAAAGATGGACAGAGTATTGCGAAAGAGGAGGATTTGTTTGGTAACAAAGAAAAGAATACTGAGCTGTAACGTGAAACCTGTCCTTCATTACAGCAGCAAATGTTGGACGATTTCCGCGAAGATATTGAAGAGACTCAAGACGAAGGAGATGTGGTTCTACAGAAGGATGCTAAGGATATCATGGACCGAGCGTGTGAGCAACTATGAGGTCTGAGAGACAATGCAAACGAGGAGGTTTATACTTAACATCAGGAAGAGACAGATGAAGTTTCTGGGACACGTAATGAGGAAGGAGGGCCTGGAGAATATGATACACACGAGTCTAATAGAGGGAAAGAGAGAGAGAAAGGAAAAAACATCGGATGACATACTTTGGCGGGCTTAAGCAAGTGGATGACAGAACGTGGTCTGGGGGTAGATGCAGTGAGAAGGAACTGCAAGGGAGATGGAGGTGGAGAGCCATGATCGCTTATGATATGAAAGGACATGGCACATAAAAAGAAAAAAGACTTGCTTAACTTTGGTGCCACCAATTTGTAAATAGCATCTTGAATCCTTTTTGCTGACAACTGTATAGTCTCCTAAACAAACTATGTTTCCTAATTTTAGTACAAGGTATTTTTCTCTTTTTAGTAACTATATTTCATTGATATATTTGCAGAGTTACTTTGATTTTTCATTTTTCTATTTGTATATATGTATTTATTTATTTCAGTGTTTTATTATTTCTGTCGAGAAATTCACATTTCTTTTAATTTAACTTTTATACCTTGCCAGGAATTTAGAACTATCTTTATAATGTCTTTTACATATACATCGTCCTTCATACTTTTCTTTTTCAACAGTTTTACAAAATATTTGTTTTCATATACTATTTAATTCTTGTTTGTTTTTCTATTTGGAATTATTTGTTTTTAGTTACGTTAGATTTTACAATTTTTCGATTTGAATTTTATTTTTAACAAATATTTTTTTTTCTTCTGTATCGTTTAATTCAGTCGAACGACATTTACGATCGTCGACTAATTAACATTTATCATATTCTATAGAATCTGCATCATCAACAACATTTGAATGGATGGATATAAGTTGTTTAAGCCTGAACGTAGATTCACTATAGAAAATTATGAAATCAGTACACTTTCAATACATTTATGATCTTCCATTCATATCATCATTTTTAAATCGTAATTATTGCCAGACAATTTGTGATGGTGCATATTTCAAAAGAGAACCCTTTGAATATCCACACTCCAGAGAGAGCAATTAGTGCATACACGCGCTTTATATATATATATATATATATATATATATATATATAGAGAGAGAGAGAGAGACAGAGACAGAGACAGAGACAGAGAGAGAGAGAGAGAGACAGACAGACAGACAGAGAGATACAGATATAGATATATATAGTCGGACTTCATCGATTTCAATATATATATATATATATATATATATATATATATATATATATATATATATACACACACACATACACATACACATACAAACACTCACACACACACATATATATATATATATATACTGCTAGTACTCTAGAGACAGATTTTGGGTTCTTACATATGTATATATGTGTGTTTGTGATGTGTGATGTGTGTGTGTGTGTTTGTGATGTGTGTGTGTGTGTGTGTGTAAGCGCACACACACGGGCAGATATATAGGGAAGCAAATATACCTCCACATAATGTTTAGGCATCAGTAGCAATGCTGTCTCGCTAATATCTTACCATCATGTGGTAGGTATATGTGGCAGTATTTTTCTGCTGCTCCATAGATATGTACATGGAAAGACTATATCTCTCTTTTTTATTAGGCATGTCTCGCAAGCGATTGTGAGTGACATTTTTTTTTTATAATTGTCTTTCCTTTAATATGAGCTAGTGTTAAAATTAGTTTCTACAACATATGCGTTCTCTCCTTTGTTTGTCCCTTTCCTTCTTTCCTCTTCATTTATACATATATACGCGTGTGTGTGTGTGTGTATGTGTGTGTGTATGTGCGTTTGTGCGCACATTGATTTTTGCATGTGTGTGTTTACGCGTGTGTTCCCAAATACGTGCCTCTGAATGTCTTTGAAAAGCTACACAGTTTCAGATTTTCTCGTTCCTTTACACGCTCTGAGGCAAACCAAGTGAAAAAGCCGGAACAATAATTTCTAAGATCAGCAGGTAAAATACGCCACGGATATTTTTGGTAATGCAGATTTTGCTTCAGTTCCCGACGTCTTTGGCAGTAAGTACCACGGTAAACACGGCATGATACCGTGTTTACTGCCTCCGGTGTGTTTCCGAACTTATATAAAAAGTCAGCACTCCCCACTGCTAAAGTAAATGTCTTTCAGTCGGCACATAATATAGCTATATATTTACAGATTTATCTATATCTATCGCTGACGATGTTGCTAACAAATTGCACACACACACACACACATATATATATATACACACATATATATATATGTGTGTGTATATATATATATATATATATATATATATATATATATATATATATATATATATATATATATATATATTTAATATATATGCGGTACATTAGAAAGCGCTCAATATCAGAGAGAGAGAGAGAGAGAGTAACATAATTGGTTAGATTGATGTGAGTTTATGACCCTGGCTTTCACGTTTTTGCCATCGTCAGACAAACTGATTAATTTTTTTAAAATAATTTTTTCACCGGGACGTGCAAGTGTGTATGTGTGTCTGCGTACCTCATCGGGTGTACGGACATGCATTTATGTTTGCGTTAGCATGAGTGACATCACGCCGACAATTACCCCCCACCACGCCCATAATAACACCAATACACGCTATCTACATGAACCCATATTAAAAAAAAAAATTAATCAGTTTGTCTGACAATCGCAAAAGCGTGAAACCCAGGGTCACAAACTCACATCAATCCAAACATATATATATATATATATATATATATTATTAAATGTTACGAAAAAATTTACATAATATAAATAGACAACACTTGTCTATATTATTTAATGAAACGTGTATATATATATATATATATATATATATATTGGGGGTGTTTTTGTTTGTGTGTGTTTATGTGTGTGTAATGGTTCTATGCAAACTTTCCACAAAACGCGAAATACTTTAAGTGTAATATTCCTAGTTGAACGTTGAACGCTCTTAAAATGGCGACAATATTTATATCTATGTTAATATATTAATGTTATTGCAAGCGTTCTCATTGATTTTACCATGAGCTTCAATGACAATTTTTACTTGTTTCTGATGAGACGTTTTATGCGTGCATATATTCCCAGACTGAATGGAATGGAAAAATTGGAGACATAAAAAAAATGACTTTATTTTCTATTTATTACGCATTAATAATATTGAAAATAGGTTCGATCCATTTATTTTGAAGATGTTAAACTATCACTATATTTAGCAATAATAAACTAATAAAAGAAAATTCTATGCCACAGTTAGGTGGAACTTGAAAAATTTACATAGAGTTATTTTTTTTTTTTCTGGGGAATTCCTGTATTGAAGAATCATGAAGAAAAAGATTCGAAAATATTAAAATGATAAAAATAAAAATGAAATATCAAATTAAGAAAATTGATGAAAAGGAAAGAATGAGTTTATATATAAATGAATACACATCAAAATCATAGAATTGAATAAAAAAATAAACGGTTGCTTTAGAGAATTAAATCAATAAATCCGTAACTAGGCACACAGCTATTATTTAAACAACTATACAAATGTTCCACTGTGTAAAGTGCAATCTATATAATTAATTAAATGGATTAAGTGCATTGACAAGAAATAAGATGATGGTTAAAAATAAATTTTTAATGTATAATATGTCTTTATTATCATTTGGCTACGGATATATACTGATGTACCTAGATATGTGTAAGGAGGAATTAATCAGATTTCAGGAAAAAAAAAACAAGAAAAGAAATAATAAAGAAGAAGGAAGGAAGTATAAAAGGAATAGGTTATTGAATAATGAAACTAAAGAAAAGAAAAAAGCGAGAAAGGAAAATGGCGAACTGTGAAATACCTAAATTTAAAAAACAAAAAACAAAAAAACAAATCTAGGTGTGTTGTAAGAATCTAGGCGAAACGAAGTTGGTCTTGAAAAATGTGTTGAAATGAAATGTATGTATTGAAATGGAATTAAGAAACATATTTACGTAAATAGATAGAAATTAAGAAAGAAAGCTTAAAAGGTAGAAAGAAAAGAGGAAAGAAAATGGCAGAAAGTGTCTAAAAAGTAGAAAACATGCAAGAAAGCGGATATATGTGTTCATATATATGGCTGTACATATAAATATATATATATATATATATATATATATATATATATATATATATATATATATATATATATATATATATATATATATATATATATATATAGAGAGAGAGAGAGAGAGAGAGAGAGAGAGAGAAAGAAAATACAAACACACACACACACACACACACAAACACACACACATAGGTGTGGCTGATTTTACGAAAAAAAATAGATGGATAGAAAAATATGAACCAAAAAAACATAGCTATAAAATAGATATGTATTGTTATTTTGATAGATAGATAGATAGATAGATAGATAGATAGATAGATAGATATCCACAGACATAAATATATATATATGTGTGTGTGTGGGTGTGCGTGCGTGCGTGAGTGTACAAAGAGCAGGAATGATTTTGAAAAGAGCGAAATAGATAGATAGATAGATAGATAGATAGATAGATAGATAGATAGATAGATAGATAAGCAGACATGGTAAGAAGTCATGTGAGTATAAGACTCTTAAATTAAATTTCATTTAAAGATGAAAAAACACATATGATGAAAAAATGACAGCATTGAAATAGAATGAGAAAATAAAATGAATTAAGAAAGAAAGAAAGAAAGAAAGAGAGAAAGAAAGAAAGAAAGAAAGAAAGAAAGAAAGAAAGAAAGAAAGAAAGAAGAGGCAGAAAAACAAAATAGCCGGAAGAGAGGAGAACAGGCAGAAAAAAAATACATGAGAAAACAAAGCGACACCTTAAAGAAAGAAACATAGAAATGGCAAAATGAAATTTTGCAAAACGCAAAAAGAAAGCGACTAAAAATATGAACATAATGAAAGACAGGAGTAAGAAATCACCTGAAAACGTGAAAAAGAAAACGAAAGCGCATGCGCAACATAAAATGTCAGCACTAAATGAAGTTTCAAATTAATATTTGATTGCTAATAGAAGAAGGCTAGTTAACGCAAGGTTATACCAAAGACAGAATTGCAGAAAGGCTGAGAGTCATAATGAAGAAAGGTAAGAAAAAAAAAAAAAGCAAATAATGACGGGAGGAAATATAAACTTTCTTAAATTGATCTTCAGAACACATACAGAGATTCAAATATATTCCAGATATTTTCTCATTTCTCAGAAATGTCAGCCTAAAATTATATCAAGCTCAGTTTTTAAAAGGATACTGAATTCCAAGATATATTTTGGTTGATATCGGGAAAATAATGAAACAATCATAGACGGATATTTCGTTTGTGTTTATTCACATCCGAAAAAAAATAAGTACAAAAATTATTATAAAGTGTAGCGGTTATCGGTATCGAAATAATGAAAATGGCGTACCGTGTTCTTATTCTAGCCTGTTTGGCTGCATTCACTTTCTCTCAAATACAATTAGAAAAAGTGCACATCGTTTTTGCTCCCTGACTATGGGTGAAAATGCGGGGTAAACCTATTCGCCTAGTCGACCAGTCTAAGGAATCATTGAATGAAAAACCGATCGGATTTCGCGCTGGCAACACCACCCCGTAAAAACCTACTTGTTGCTAAATCCACAGCTACATCAGCTAGACTGGTGAGGCTGTGTCCACCTGCTCCCCGATGGAGTTCAATGACACGAAGGATGCGGAGAGATTAAGTGTTTGATTTGGTTCTGCTCTTACATGTACTTCGCACAAAAAGGCAGCCTTTGAAAACTAAGGATTTAACTGATTTTGAAAAAAAAAAAAAAAACAAATACGTATCTAATTTCTTAGAAAACCATTGAAGAGGAATACACAAAAATTACAGACGCTATACACATTGTTTAATTCAGTATATATTAAAAAAATGTTTGAGAGTTGATGTGACTCTGAGAGTATTAGAATTTATTTGTGGATACATTCTTAACAGAATTATATGTTCTGATAAAATATCGTTGATAAAAGACTAACAACAAAGAAAATATTAAAAATTGATCCTTGACAAAAGGTGTGTTCAGTTTCTGGAAAAGGGAAGAAAAACAATACATGGATGTCAGTTTCCCAACATATTTGTACTAAAACAGAATGTTTTCTGGATGTGTTTTAACAAGGACGGAAAATGCGACATCCAGAGAAATCCAAACGTAAAATGCGAAACAAAAAATTGAACGAAACACCTTTCAAATGTTAAGCAAAGTATTAAAATTATTAAAACCAAAGAAAAGAGTGCTGAGCTGTAATATAGTATCGGTCCTTCTATATGGCAGTAAATTCTTGATGGTCTACGCACAAATGAAAAAGAGACTTGTGATATCAGTCATTAAATTAAAAAAATAATATCTATATATATATATATATATATATATATATATATATATAAAGAAAGAAAGAACAGCAAGATATATAATCCGGTGTTCTTATAGATATTTTATTTTTACAAATTTTGTTTTAGCTGTGTATTTAAAAACCCAGTAATTTTAAAAGTTACTTTTAAATTCGCGTGAGGATGAAATGGAACTAATGTCTTTAATTTAATCACAAATTAAATTCGTGGCTTTTAGCTTCCATTTTTGAAACATGGTTAGAACTGTGTAGCGAAAAAAACATATTTTAAATCAATTAATATATATATATATATTAGTCCTAGAATTAATATATTCTTGGCAGTGTTAGATATGGGTACATTAATGGTATGTCCCAATTATACATACGTTGCAAACTATTTAAATCCACAGCTAAGTGGGGTAATATGTTGTCCAAGTAGTCCACCACCAGCAGTGGTTTATCTACTTCACGCCGCTGGCGAGTATTATATTTGAAACCATTGATGTTATAAATATTACCATTTCATTTCCAACTTCCATTTTGTTTATTCCTTATTCTGTAACCATTTCTAGGTTACAACATATAGCTTTAAGGGCTGTTGGAAGAATTTTTGTTCTATAAGGCTTTAATAAAATTAAGAACTACTGAACTGTGACGTAATATCGGTCTTGTTATATGACAGAGAATGTTGGTCAATCATAGCAGATTGAAGAAAAGAAGCTGGAGTAACAAAAATGTGGTTCTACAGAAAGAAACGTAAAAGACCATGGACTGAACGTGTAAGAAACGATGAAATTGTGGAACAAAAGGACACTTATACTTAACATCAAAAAGAAACAATTGAAGATTCTAGGTCACATATTTAGGGGAGAGGGCTTAGAAAATACGACACTGATAGGACATATGGAAGGCGATATGGGCAGAGGAGAAACGGCACATAACCAACCTGAGGAGCTTGTGTAAATGTATGGCAAACAGGGTTTAGGAGAGATAGTGAAAAGACACAAGTTACTAAGAATGATCTACAAAGGAAAACCATGATCGTCTGCGCCTTAAAGGGATATAGCACACAGAAGAAGGAGGAGGAGGAGGAGGAGGAGGTGAAGAAGGAGGATGATGAGAGGAAGAAGGAGGAGGAGGAGGAGGAGGAGGTGAAGAAGGAGGAGGATGAGAAGAAGAAGAAGGAGGATGTGAAGAAGAAGGAGGAGGATGTGAAGAAGAAAGAGGAGGAGAAGGTGAAGAAGAAGGAGGAGAAGAAGAAGAAGAAGGAGGAGGAAGAAGAAGAAGAAGAAGGAGGAGGAAGAAGAAGAAGAAGAAGGAGAAGGAAGAAGAAGAAGAGGTAGGAAGAATAATAATAAGAAGAACAACAAGAAAGCCTTAAAGGGATATAGCACACAGAAGAAGAAGAAGCAGAAGAAGAAGAAGGAGGAGGAGGAGGGAGAGAAGAAGGAGGAGGAGAAAAAAGAAGATAAAGAAGGAGGGAAGGAAGAGAAGAAGTAGGAGGAGGAGGAGGGGACGAAGAAGAAGGGTAGGAGGAGGAGGAGAAGATGAAGAAGAAGAACAACAAGAAGATGAAGAACAAGAACAAGAACAAGAAGAAAGGGAGGAGGAGAAGGACAACAGCAACATCAAATGAGATTGATTGGTTCACGTTTCTTTTTAAATGAAGCAAGTTTTAAATGAATAATGAATTGGTTGTACAGACATTTCTTGAGTAATTTTATGTTTAGCTGTTCAATTATTTTTTACTTTTTTTATGAATTGTTGGAATTAAATAAATAACATGATAAACTCCGAATATTTTCTTCAGAAAACTGCTTGCTGAATGTGAGGCACAAGCGTAATGCACTATTCTTGGCAATGTCAAATATCTCTGCAAATATTTTGCAAGACATACGATACAAGGTCTGTCTGAAAAGTAACAAGACTGGTGTCAGAAACAATTTATTTCAATCCCCCCACCCAACAAAAAAAACCCTACACAGTTTCCCCTTCAAAGCATCCTGCTTCAGGTTTAATGCACTTTTCCATCAGCCCTTCTGCTGGAAGGATTAATCTTCGATGCCCCTCAACCACGTAGTTACGGCCCTCTTCAGGGATCCCTTTGATGCTCACCTTGATCTTGAGGAAATGGTATAGCTCACACGAAGCAAAATTAGGTGAATACGGTATTTTCTTCGAGGTCTGGAACAGACGAATTCTCAGGGTGTTATGAGAAGGTGCATTGTCTTGTTGAGGCAGCCACAATTTGCCCTTCCACAAAAGGATATGTAACAGAGATGCAATGGCTGAAGGACGCTAAGATTTCAGTTATATACCCCCAATATATCATATTAGATAGAAAATTCGCCCCCTTTCGTTCATAGCTTACACAGCACACTAGTTCCGTTACTTCTGAGGTATTTATGATCAGAATGGTATTTGATAGAGCAATGCAAATGCAGAAGGACGTACTTTTATGTTTCATAGATTAAGCAAAGTTACTAGATAAATCTTTTGATGATTGATTCGTTTTTCATGGGTCATCACACCTTTTCTAGTTATTTAAATCCAGAAAATATGTTTTAGATTGTAAAACGATATTGGAGATAATAATTGTTTAGTGATAAAAGTCTTACTTGTCTTACATCTGGGGAAGGGGATGGGTTCATGCCTTTCCCAATGTTATTTGAGCGTAAACTAATATAACGAGCAAAACAGTAATTGGAACTCGGTTCACCATTTTTGAGATAATAACAGTTTAGTGATACAAGTATTACTTGTCTTATATCTGGGAGGGGGTGATGGGTTCATGCCTTTCCCAGTGGTGTTTGCACGTAAATTAGTATAACGAGTAAAACAGTAATTGGGACTCGGGTCACCATTTTTGAGATAATAACTGGTTAGTGATAATTTTCTTATATCTGGCGGGGGTGGGGAGATGGATTCATAACTTTCCCAATGGTATTTGAGCTAAAATTTATATAACGAGCAAAAAGGTAATTGGAACTCGGGTCACCATTATCCATTACATCACCCGCACATCAAACCTTACAATACCTAGTATTCCCAGGCGGTTACCCCTCTAATTACTGATCAGGCTCGACGTTGCTTAACTTCGCTGATCGTACGGGAACCGGTTTTTCAAGTATTAGATAAAGCACAGAGATCTACTTGAGCAGCTCAGAAAATCTGGATCTATTTGAGAAAAATCGTAGAAGAATCCAGTACTTACACTGGGAGACAAATTCCTGCCTACGGATGAAAATGGCTTGTGAAAATATACAAAAAATAGAAAGGAGGATAAAGTAATGATGGGTACCTCACCAGGTTTATTCAGCCTTTAAGGATATCCTACCAAGATCTATAATCGGTCGATGCAAACTTTACCGGATATGCTTGCATATCATGCGACGTTTGAAGACCTAATTTTTAAACTAATAAGCTTCTGAGGTATTTATGATCAGAATGGCATTAGATAGCTAATGCTAATTTTTAAACTAATTTTAAGGGGGTCGCTTAATGCAGGAGACAGAAAATTAGCATACGTACTGCTGTAACTGGCTACGCCGTTGACCAAACTATACATTCATTTATTGTAGTTAAAATAGATTCAAAATTAGGTTTTTAAAGATTAAAACACGCAGAGGAAACAGTGTGAAGGCAGACACTGGAAAACTGCATGACATCCTCGATAAGTTAGTCATGGAAAGCACGAAGAAAGTACTAACTGTAATTTGTAAAAAGACATAATTTATTGTTCTCAGCCATCGAAAGAACCTCAGATATCTCAATTGGAGATGACAAAATCAAACACGTACTAAAGTGTAAATATCTGGGAAATGTTTTTAACATGGGTGTGACATCGAAATCCAAAAACGTGCTGGAATAGCAAAAGATGTTTTTTTTCAGAAACTAAGAGAAATGCAAAGAAACAGGAAAATTGTTGTTGGAAAAGAAAAACGAAATAGCAAAAGATGGAGCACACTGCATTGCCTTAAAAAGCCAAGAAAATTATTAAGAAACAGGAAAATTTACTTCGTATATAGAAAAGAAAAAAAATAAATGAGAAAAAACAAAAAGGGCACTGAAATATTACGCAACATCAGCCCTCCTATATAGCAGTGAATGCTGGGCAATCTCCTCAGAGATGAAGATAAGACTTGACGCAATAGAAATGTGGAGCTACAGAAGAAGACAAAGAACGGAGATTGCAAGCAACTAGGAAGACTAAAAGAAAACAAAAAGGACAATTATATATCAGAAAGAGATTGCTGAATTTTCGGGGACACATAATGAAGAAAGACAGCCAGGAAAATTTGAAACAAACAGCATATATCGATAGCAAAAGCGACAAGAAGGGTAAACGGACCACTTGATTAGCTTATTTGAATAGATGATGGCAGAAAACGGAGAAGTGATGGGAAAATTAAAAAAAAATATTACAAGGAGCTACAGGAAGTAGTGGATAATCTGACCGCCCATACCCTAAAGAAGCACTTGCAGAGAGAAGACTAACATCACTAGACTACGTTATTTATTTTTCATTACTTTCTGATAGACATAATATTGATACGCATACGAATATGTATATATTTAACAAAACATTTTTTAATTAAAAATTGCTTCCTAAATAAGTATGTATGGAAACGTGGGCAACTAGTTAATACATTAGCGTTTCGAGTTCGGTTTAAATTTCACTATGATCATTTTGACAAAGAGTTGGTTGGGAAAACGGTCCCAGTGTAAGACGAGAAGAAAGACATACACAGAACCAACAACGTCATTATCTATCTATCTATCTATCTATCTATCTATCTATCCACTCCCATCTCTTAATATCTATCTATCTATCTATCTATCTATCTATCTATCTATCTATCTATCTATCTATCTATCCACTCCCGTCTCTTAATATCTATCTATCTATCTATCTATCTATCTATCTATCTATCTATCTATCTATCCACTCCCGTCTCTTAATATCTATCTATCTATCTATCTATCTATCTACTCCCGTATCTATCTATCTATCTATCTATCTATCTATCTATCTATCTATCCACTCCCATCTCTTAATATCTATCTATCTATCTATCTATCTATCTATCTATCTATCTATCTATCTATCCACTCCCGTCTCTATCTATCTATCTATCTATCTATCTATCTATCTATCTATCTAAATATAAAGTTTTGGTGCCGGTGGCAAACATCAGGGACAAATTAGAAACGTCTCGTTGTAAGATTTTTAATATTTATAAACAAATGTTAAGATCAGGGAGTATCCACTTATGTTTTTAGGCGATCATGTCTCTTTCGATGCATGACTAACGAGGCAGATTTTTCCGGCAGTAGGTTGCCATTTATTTCTGCGGTAGACCAGTTGCCATCCAAGGCTATAGAACCCGGTCTGTCTTGCTATTTACCCATAGCTGGGTGGGGGGAGAAGAAGAAGATTCATACGTTCCCCAAGGGTTTTAGCACGTAAGTGAATGTAATGGATTCGACAGGAATTCGAACTCGGCTCTCTGGTTAATCATTTCGAGCCGCTATCCATTATTTCCCTGTAGCTCCATCCACTTATGTACTGTATAGTATTTTTCCTTTTTGGTATTCAATCATTTGTCTCTCTTATTTATATATATATATATATATATATATATATATATATATATATATATATATATATATATATATATATATAGTTTAAGATGTGCTATAGATAGATATAAACAGATTCAGATAGATAGATAGATAGATAGATAGATAGATGTGAGCAGGCAGAGTAATTTCTAAATGGAACGAAAGAAAACAAACAAAACAAAATGGAAAATGACAGAAGTGGAATGAAGTGAAGTGAAGACTAAATGGTGGAAAACTTGTGGGAGCGGATATATATATATATATATATATATATATATATATATATATATATATATATATATATATATATATACACACATATAAATATGTGAGTGTGTATATGTGTATGTGTGTAAAGAAAAGATTTTGAAGATAGAAAAAAGCAGGGAAAAGAAGAAAACAAAAAAAAAAGAGAAATAGAAGAAAAAGAAGAAGAATTAGAAGTAAAAACATAAGATATTGAAAAAAGAAGAAGATGAAAAAAACAACGAAGAAGAAAAAGAAGAAGAAGAAGAAGAAATATGCCTTCAATTTTAAAGGGATCAACCTCTGCTCATAATTTCTATATATCTTTGTTACGATATGATAAGGATTATATGCTGCTCCATGAGATATTTTTACTCGGATATCGAAGCTCCTGCTTCTTACAATGGAGATCATGATTTGATTCACATTCGTCACTCAGCTCATCCTGCCAGCGTCCTGACGCAAATGTATTACTCATACTTAGCCTTTATGTACACAAAGAACGTCAAACATCAGAAAGCATGTATCATGTGACGCCTGACAGACAATACCATGTTGTTCGCATACTTCGGTATTCACAGAAGAAAAAAAACAGCAAAAAAGAAAGCTTTTGCTATGAATAACTGTAAAATAGTGTAAAATCTGAGACATTAACTTGAAGCATATTCCGCCTGCCCTGAAAAAAAAAAACAGTAAATATAATGTTGCCATATTCAGAACCAGAGGCATGAAGCTGTATATTTAAATATATTCAAAAAATTATTTTTAACACGAGATTTAAATGTAGTGTAGCTAAGAAATTCTTAGCACTGTTTATTGTCTTTTGCTTAGCTGAAATAAACAGATATTAATATTTTTAAGGTGAAGAGTCACTGATTTCTTTCTTGTATTTTAGTTTTCTCAAAACTTTAAGTAAAGGCGCACTATCGTTATTAAATTTGAAAAAAAAAAATTTACATAAAATAATCAAATATTTCCTGAGAATAAATAGTATTTTTTTTTCTATGTATGCCTCAGAGTGGCTGAGATAATAAGATTATCAATACGAGAAAACATGATTAATAGAGTTTAGAAAAAATAAAATAGAGGCTAAGTACGCTTGACTATATAATACATATATATCAATATATATTTTCTGTGGATGCATATTCACTTGACGTTATATATATATATATATATATATATATATATATATATATATATATATATATATATATATATATATATATGTATGTGTGTGTGTGTGTGTAAAATTGTAGACTAAGATCAACAATAGAGCATCTCTACACAAAAATACACGATACTATAAAAATATATTTTATCATATATGTCGAAAGATAAAGTTAGTTCGCACACACACGCACACACAGACACGCAGAGACACAGACGCATACACAAAGATATATATATATATATATATATATATATATATATATAACACCGCATATTCGCGAGGCCCAGAAATATTAACCAAACTGTAAAGAACAGTAGCTGATTTTGACATTAAGCATGAAAGTCGTAGTGGCTGTGTAGGTTAGTATATATATTTTACTAATATAGATAGCTTACATGCATATATAAGATAAGCATATATATATATATATATATATATATATATATATATAGAGGGAGAGAGAGAGAGAGAGAGAGATACTATACAGGCATATGTATATACATGCATATACATGTATATATTGTACATACATATGTATAAGCATATTATGTAAATATAAATATAAAAGTGAACATTAAAGCTAACGATTCATGCTAGGCGCAAAAATAACCGTGAAAATAGATTACCCACAATGCACCACTGACCCATATATATAAACAGTCAAGGAAAAATACAACATTCACTGCCTGACGATTGCGCCTAGCACCAAACAGCCTGTCGCCTCTGAGTATTGACTTCAATGTTCACTTTATATATATATATATATATATATATATATATATATATATATATATGTGTGTGGGTGGGTGCGATTGTGTTTATTTGTGTATGTATCAGTGTGTCTGTGTGAAAAAGAAATATATATATATATATATATATATATATATATATATATATATATATATATATATATATATATATATAGACAAAACAAATAAACAAAACAAATCTACTTCCAGACCTGATGATGTCTGTAGGAACAGACGAAAGCTTTTAAAAAACTAAAAAAGACCTTATGCAACTGAATTTATAAACAGGGATCATAACAGTCATCTACACGTTCGAGTTTAATGTACTTTATTAAAATTGTTTACGAAGATGTATTCTCGCCATTTAAATCATTAACTTCTATATCTGTTTTTTGTATGAATGATTCATGTAATGTATATTGAACTGCACCACATAATTGATATATATATATATATATATATATATATATATATATATGTGTGTGTGTGTGTGTGTGTGTGTGTGTGTGTGTGTGTTATATGTGTGTTTATTTGTATGTGTGTATCTGTGTGTCTGTGTGTGGGGGTAGAGAGAGAGTGAAGTGATTAGGCGTACTTAAGCAAGGGGAATATTCAAAACTAAAAATTTAAACTACAAACGCAGACTGTGAATTTAATCGAATTTCTTTGTTTACATACCTAGTGCGTGAGAGGCAAACTCGGACACGGATGTTTCATGTACAATCAATTCCAATGATGTTGATAACGTATTTATCGATGAAAACTGAAGTTAACTAAACTAACACAATCGGAACATTAATATAACTACAGTGCGCATGCGTTTTCGTTTATTTGTTTGTGACATGCCAAAAATGGTGGCAGCTTAGCTGTGAACTTCTCATTCATTCATAGTATCCACTAGATAGTACCATTTATTAAAATCTTTACAGAATTCTTGCAATAAAAAGCATTAATAATTCCCTGGAGGACTGCAAAAGGCACATTGAACATTTCTTTTCACTGGATGTTAAACGTTTTCTCGGGGGATGGAATTATGACGACGCCTGATCTTTAACTGAAAGTACAGTAAATATGTGCTTCAATAAAATTCAAATTCAGAATATAAAAAAATATAATTTAATTTTACTTTATGAATCGAAAGAATCGGAAGTTAATATTTTATATCTATGTATCTACCGACATTTGTATCACCAGTGTGAATATATATACAAATACACATATGCATATATATATAAATATATATATATATATATATATATATATATATATATATATATGTGTGTGTGTGTGTGTGTGTGTGCATTTATATATATATATATATATATATATATATATATTGAGTGTGTATGTGTCTGTATATGTGGGTGTTTATATATGAATAAGGTATATTTAGTCAGCAAATATTAAACATCCTGTATTAAATAAAATATCATTTAGCTTAGCAGACGCTGAAGTATGATATATATATATATATATATATATATATATATATATATATATATATATATATATGTATGTATGTATGTGTGTATATATATATATATGTATGTGTGTGTCTACATGCAGGTTGACGGAAAAATAACGCACTATTTCACGTGACCTGGAGTTCTGACTTAAAACACTGTGATTTAATTCTTTGGTGTTAGTCAAAGGAACAAGTCTATTGTACCAAACCAAGAACTTCCAAGCAGTATACAAGAAGTTGTAACTTCCATACCCCAAGAGTCCCTGGTTAAATTAGTTGACACGA